TTCAGATGATCACTCTAAAGCACTTTGAAATAGTCATTGGTATGTGACATAAAGAAACTCTTGTAATATTTTGGAATGGAGTATGCTACATTTTTCCTTAAATGACTTGCTCCGTTACAACACATCAAGTCATATGATACTCATAGATCTCTTAAATATTTATTTTGTCTTCTGGTTAGTATTAAGAATCTATGAAGGCTGGTTATTTTATTAAAATATCATCAAAAAATGTTATTAAATGGTTATTTGGCTAGTAATAAACTAGACTCTATACAAATGGCATTATTAGATATGGTCATGGTATTTTAACATCTAAAATAGAAATGTAAAGTAACATTTTTAAAAGGAGATAATATAAGTAAATTATTATTGGAAGTATGACTAAGTAATAATTGTGAGATTAAATATTTATGTCTAAATAAAGGGAGCGAGGTTTACCACACATAAGGTGCAAATCTGGTTATAATGTTGTATTCCAAAGACTGGCAACCTATACCCTGCAAATCAAAAATAATTTTATTTCCGACAAGGACTCTTATTAAGTAAAACATGACCCTTGTTCTCTTCTTCCTTCCTGCGAAGGGCTGCCTCCTTAACAGGTTCTGGTCCTCTGGCTCATTTGGGAAGTAGCAACTTGAGGTCAACTCACAAATACCTTGACCATCCCTCCCCCATCCTACACACACAAAAAAAGTAAGGCTATTGCAGTGGCTCACATCTGTAATGCCATCACTTTGGGAGGCTGAGGCAGGAGGAATACTTGAGCCCAGGAGTTCAAGACCAGCCTGGGCAACACAGTGAGACTCTGCCTCTATAAAAAATTACGAGGCATGGTGGCACATGCCTGTAGTCCTAGCTACTTGGGAGGCAAAAGCAGGAGGATCACTTGAGCCCAGGAGTTTGAAGCTGTAGTGAGTCAAGATCACACCACAGCCCTCCAGCCTGGGTGACAGCAAGACCCTGTCTCAAAACTGAAAAAAAGAAGAAGAAGAAGTGAGGCTGGAATTTGTGAGGCTAAAATTTGGCATGCTGTGTATAAAGGACTGTTTACTGACCTCAGACCCAGCCCAAAGACAAACCCCAGAAATAGAATCAGACCCTGGATAAGTGGGTGGATAGATGGATGGGGAAAGGGAAGATAAACAACAACAAGAAAGAGAGGGATGGAGGGATAGAAAGACGAATGAAAGAGGGAGGGAAGGATTTGAAGAAATACTCAAGGCTTCCCTTTTGCTTATTTTCCCTAAAGTCGTATTTTCAATTAATCCCATTTTCCTGTGAAAGCAATGTGTCATGCTCTTAGAAAAATAAGAAAATAGCCAACTCCAGAAGATGCAATAATACAAGCATATTTTAGAATGAAGCCAAACTTTTAAAAGCAACACACGTTAAGGGCAAAAACATAGTTTATATGGCGTCATGAATCTGACAGTATAATTTGCCTCAACCCGCCTCATATAAAAACTACAATAATAATATAATATCTCGGTATTAATTAAGTGCTTATTATGAGTCAGGTGCTCTCCTAAGAACTTTATATGTATTAAATGTGGAATTCTCACATCAACCCTATGGGGTAATTATTGTTATTGACAGTGCTGTGGAGATAAAGCTAACTGAACACCAGACAGATGAGGTCATTTATTATGGCCTCATCTGATTTTTATTGGAGATGTGGTCATTCTAATACTGTAACCTATTTTTAACAGCCTTTATTTTTCTTTCTTCCTCTCTTTTCCTCCTACCTTCCCGCCAAATATGTATGAAAATGTTTATGATAGCAGATACTGACCTAAGACCCAGCCTAAAGACATAGCCTCTGACATCTTGGAGGTGCAATATCATTCTTTTTTATGAGGCGGAGTCTCACTCTGTTGCCCAGGCTGGAGTGCAGTGGCAGAATCTTGGCTCACTGTAACCCCTGCCTTCGGGTTCAAGCAATTCTCCTGTCTCAGCCTCCCGAGTAGCTGGGATTAAAGGTGCCCACCACCATGCCTGGTGAATTTTTTTGTATTTTTAGTAGAGACAGAGTTTCTGCCATGTTGGCCAGGCTGGTCTCGAACTTCTGACCTCAGATAATCCACCTGTCTTGGCCTCCCAAAGTTACGGGCGTGAGCCACTGTGCCCACCCACAATGTTAATTCTTTAACCATTTATTTTTTCTTTGCTTGAAATTACCAGATTCTTTACAAAATTATTTGCTAGAAGAACTCACAACATGAAAGAAGAGGAAATAGCAGGACCTACAGCCCGGTGTTCATTGCGGAGGCATTGATCAGAGGTCCAGAGTTTAGACTTGGAGGCCAGACTGCTTGTGTTTGAGCTCAGTTCTACCTTAATAATTCTGCAACCCTAGTTCATTTTTTAAATTTTCCTATGCCTTGATTTCCTGACCTATAAAACAGAAGTAATAGTGGCTACCTCTTGGGGTTGTTGCTTTGGTACTTACAAAGCAATACGACTATAGCCTGACACGGTGTAAATGAGCTATTATATAATGAATTACTCTACATTTGATTTTCTTTCACTAATGAATTTCTGTTACATAAGGGAAATCTTTAGAATTTTGAGCCTTCCTAGATTTGGAGAAGGATCACTGAACACCAACAACAGTTCTCAAGCAAAGAGTAAACAAAAGCAATAAAAATGTAGAGGAGAGGTGGAAAGAATTAGGAAGTCATGTTTCTCCACTTTATCTGGAGTTCTGTCAGTTCATGTAGACCACACATTGTGATAGACATCCATGTTTTCTTTTTAAAAAAATGTGAAATAAAGAAATCAGCGCTGATTAAATGAAGTTTAATACACACACAAAAAAAATGTTTACAACATAGAGGCAAAGGATAAAAATAACAAAGAGATAAATTGGTCATGAAAGTATTGGAGCCGGACCAGTGGCTCACGGCTGTAATCCCAGCATTTTGGGGGTCAAGGCAGGTGAATCACTTGAGGTCAAGCATTCAAAACAAGCCTGTCCAACATGGTGTAACCCCATCTCTACTAAAAGTACAAAATTAGCTGGGCATGGTAGCACACGCCTGTAGTCCCAGCTACTCAGGAGGCCGAGGCAGGAGAATTGCTTTAACCTGGGAGGTGGAGGTTGCAGTGAGCCAAGATCGCACCACTGCACTCTTGCCTTGGCGGTGGAGTGAGACTTTGTCTGAGAGGAAAAAAAAAGAAAGAGAAAGAAAAAAAGGAGGAGAGGGGAGGGGAAGGGAGGGGAGGGGAGGGGGACAGGGAAGGGAGGGAGGGAGGGA